GAGTTTAATCTTTGTGGTTCATCCAATCAAGGACCTTTATGATGAGATGATAACACAGAGGCTGTCAGTGCCAAATGCAATACGGAACTCTCAGGAGATGGATGCTTCCTCCACTGATAATTTTTACCAAAGCAAAGCAAGAGCCAGGAGAAGTTAGTTATTGCTAATCTGTGTAGGTTATTAATGTTGACTAGGAATTGGAAAGCTCCATTTTCCATTAGCAAGTTGTTAAGTGATCAACTACACAGTGTCAGATAATTAAAGCTATGAGAACTAGCTTGGAACCAATACTTTTCTATAATGTTTCAAAAAGAGCATTTATAGTTGTCATTTTTAAGAAACCTAAAGAAATGTGCATTGTACATACATGCGCACACACACACAGAGCTGTGTCTATTTCACTTGTCATTTAAGCCCCCTCCCACAAACACATACACAACTGAGGTAATTATTTCTAAAACTCATATATAATGCACCTTCAGATGACAATGATCCTTATGAATATTTTAAGACATTTCTAGAGGCAAAGATGCAAAAATACCATTTTAAAAACCCATTTTTGTGAGACCTCATTAACTAATGAAGAAATAGCTAAAAGAAATAGGATTTAACTTCACAGGAGGGACATTAATAGTATACTTCACTCCTTCCAGCTAGGCTTACACATATGCTTATTTATCATTATCTGTCTTATTTTATCATGCTTCAGCTTTATGGAAAAATATAAATCTGCAAATGCTTGGAAATATACTATTTTAATGGCTAACTAGAAATAACATGATAAATAATCCTGTAGTAAACACAAGATGCAAAGCATTGTTTTACGAAGAGTTACTATGTGTTTGAAGTTGGCGTTAACACCAAAGGGCAAAACTTTAAGATATGCCATATTTAAAGTCTGCTTATCTTCTGCATGTATGCTCAAAACAGTGTTTGTAACTTATTGCTTAATATCAAACAGATTTTATTTTGAACAAGTGCTTATTTATTCAGTGTTGAGCCTTCTCCTCCAGCTGATTCCACAGCAAAAAAGTCTGGTCCATCATCCAGCATGCCTAAATCCCACTGACCTCAGTGGAACTAACTGCACTCTGGGTATGCTGAGCCCTGCGATTTGTACAGATGCAGGAAACTCCACTGCATAATTTTTGGTGCTTAGTTTGGTTGTTTGAATTCTATAAATGTTGTTAGTAGCTTTTTTAAAAAATGGATTGTATGGCATGAAGTGTTGTCACAGTCCAGAGAGCTTTGGCTATTGGGCATTTCCTAAATGAAATGAAACATAAACAAACATAAATTGCACAGGTAAGTTGCTCAGTTCCTTTGATCTCTTTTGGATTCACTGCACACAAGGACTAAATGAGAAGTTCTGGGAAATCCCTCAGTGGAACTCTCAGTATATTTTTCTTTTATTAAAATGGCACATATGCTGTTCTATTTGTCTTTTCCTGCCTTCTTCAGGCAACAGCAATTCAGTAGGAAAATCCAATAGGGGAATGGCTTAGGTCAGAGCATTAAACCCCCCTCCTTTAATCTTATCCATGATGCAATATGACTGTTCCTCCATATCTGTTCTAATTACAGAGAAGGGCAGCAGGGCAAGTGATTTCTTGTTTCCTGGTTTGCATGACATGACAACCCATCATGGATAATCATCTATAGTGGGTTGTTGTGCCACATCAGAACCTGGTGTGGTTTCTGCCAGGTGGCTTATTTTTCACTCACAATGCACCCTGAGAATCCATGGTTTGTTGTTGGGTTGTTCAAGGTGTCTCATTTTCAAGGTAGTTTGTTGCCTTGAAATTCACACAAATTTAGCTAGAACTTGCATATCTTTATGGATTCCTCTCAGGACTCTGTAACCCAGATATATATCTGACAGCTCACAATGGAGACTAGTGGAGGAAAGTGACAAGCATGGAACAGCCAACAGCAGTAGGAAAGAACAATTTGGAGACAAGTGCTTATTTCTGCTATGCTTAGTAAAATAGCAGAAAGGTGACCTTGTGCTCTTGCACAATTGCACCTGATCCTGAAAAAATATGAATGTGTTCGTAAGGGTTCAGAAAATTAATTCTAATTGTCAATCTGATGTGGGTGGGGGAGAGGAGTTTCCCTCATGACCCTGTACCCCAGGAGACTTATTGTAGAAAGGGTGCTCATATATGAGGACAGGAAGGCCTGGAGGAATTTTGTCCATGGGGTCGCAATGGGTCGGACACAACTTTGCGACTAACAACAACAAATAGTTCTTCCACAAATGGAATACATGGCAGGGGTCAATGGGAGGGAGGACTGAGGAGGTAAGCAAACCACTGCAAGCCACATCTACTGTTTGTGGATCAGTTAGCGAACAACCAACCTAGGGTGGCTTAGAATGCTTTGTGAACTCTTCCACTGTGTCCAGTTTGGTGCCATCCTCCTCTGAGCTGAATCCCAAATCACACTGTCAAGCCAATTCCATCAGATTCTACTATAACTGGAAGCAGTTACAAACAGTACCCAAGTTACATACTGAATTCGTCTTAGCTTCTGCTTTGCGGGTGGATGAGATCTCCATTCAGCTTGATCTGACTACATCAGAGACAGCCATTGCCTTTAATGTCAGTTCATTTGTGTTGATATATAAAATAAACTAGAACATATCCCCTTCTCTAGAATTGCTTGTGCTACAGTGCCTTCCAAATCCTCTCCTTGACCCTGACTGGCCTTTTCAAAAATAGTTAAGTGCTATCTGAATCAGATCTACACAGTGTTGAATTTGAAACCACACAGGGAAATTGCAAACTTGTATGGCTTGTTTTATGATTGTTCTAAGACATGAAGAGCCAATAAATCTACCAGCTGCATAGCCTGCAACCTCTTCCAATGATGTCCATAGCACAAAACCCACAGCCTTATTTCCCAAACTGGCATATCAGTCAATCAACACTGCACATTTCCAGTCAGAGCTATCTGATGAACAAACTGCTGATTTGAGTTCCTAGTGGGCTTCCTCCAGGTAAAGTGGGGCAGGCAGTACCTTCAGCAGAGAACCATAGTTCAGTTGTAGAGCATATTCTTTGCCTGTGGAAAGTCTCAGGTTCAGTCCCTTAGCAGGCAGCAGATGATTGGAAAGACCTCCACCTGAGAAGCTAGGGAGCTGTTGTCAGAGCAGACTGTGTGGAGTAGTGGTTAAGAATGTGGAATGGGGACTGACAGAGGAGATCTGTGTATGCATCCCCATTCGGCCACAGAGCTCACTGGGTGACTCTGGGCCATTCACAGATTTTCAGCCCAACCTACCTCACAGGGTTGTTGCTCTGAGGATAAGATTGAGAGGCAGAGGAGAATTATGTAAGCTGCCTTGAGTTCCTTGAAATGACAAAGTTGACACAGAAATATAATGAATGAAGTTATGAATGAATGGTCTGACTTAATATAAGACAGCTTGGCCCAGTTCACACAATTATTGTGAGGGAAATAATCCAGTGTAGCTTATTTCCTTTGCTATGCAGGTTGGTTATAAGAGTATGAGAAAAGACATGTTGGATCAGATGAATGGTCAGTCCAGCACTCCTTTCACATGGTTCCGACAGCTGCCCACAGGATCCCTCAAGCAGGATGGGTACAGGAGGCTCACCTGCCCAAGCTCCTCAGCAACTGGTGTACACAGTCATACCCTCTTTGATAAAAGAATTAGCCCATAGCTAGCAAGGCCAATAACCACTGATAGTCTTCTCTTCTATGAATTTGTTCAATCCCCTTTTAAGTCATCCAAACTGGTAGCCATTGCTACTTCCTGTGACAATGAATTCCATAGAAACTTGTGCTGTGTGAAAAAGTACTTCCTTTTATCTATCCGGAGTCTTCCACTAAGCAGCTTCATGAGATGACCCTGGG